CTTTGAGTGAGTGAGTGTGAGTGAGTGAGAGCACTCACTCACTCACTCACTCTCTTACTCACTTATTCAGCGCGCGCACACGTGTGTATGTGTGTGTGTGGTGGGTGTGTGTGTGTGTGTGTGTGTGTGTGTGTGTGTGTGTGTGTGTGTGTGTGTGTGTGTGTGTGTGTGTGTGTGTGTGTGTGTTCGTGCGTGCGTGCGTGCGTGCGTGCGTGCGTGCGTGCGTTCGTGCGTTCGTTCTTGCGTGCGTGCGTGCGTGCGTGCGTGCATGCGTTCGTATGTGTGTAGGGCATATATAGCATTTATATACGTCGGAATTTTACCGTACGTCGAGCTGGTAGTATAACAGTTAACATGACTGTCAACCAAGCTGCTACCTGCTGTAGCCTCGTCTATTGAGGTTGTAACCCAGCATGAATGGTTGTTAGTAGTCGAGGCACATATCTAGAAAAAAAATAGTATTCTACAGTTGAACTGCCGGTTTTCGTTGGCCCCCTGACTGGTTGGTGTATCACGGTAAGCATTCAGTGAATGAGTAGTGATACTCATGCTTGATGCACGTACGTGATGATGTACAGCATATCCATAATGTCATCTATGGATGATGAAGTCATGCATCACTATCAGAGGGGAATAATGACATTTGTCCTTATTCATCCCTGATCACTATATGTATGAGTATGGCATAGATTCTGTAAGAGAGGTTACGCGTTTAATTTTCGTGAACTAACGAGACTACCATTGGCATTACCATGTAACTGTATATTATAATAAATAAATATATATTATATATATATATATATTTATTTATTTATTTATTATAATATATATATATATTATTATATGGTATAATATTATTTTATATCACGCTGCGTGTGATATGTCGGGGGCGATGGCCGCGCGACTGCGAAAATTAGGTCTGTCTATACATGGCGCTAAGAGAAGACCCTGATCTGCTCGTCATGTTTGCATAATGATAGTATATATAATATATATATATACATTGTGTATGTATCATTCACAGGCGGACGTGATCGAGATAATAGCTTATAAGTAACATGGTGGAGGGGTTGTTAATAGCTTTTTAGCGAGAAAATAAATACGATTATACATTATTAATTTATTAATTTACACATATTTATATATATTTGTGTGTGTGAGGGGGTAGGTAGTGTAGCAATGGAACAGCAGAAATTTTGCATGAAAATAATATGAGTCTAAGCGCGTACGTATCTATGCCGGATGCGTGTGGCGAATGCGCCGCGGCTGCTACCCATGCATACATTCAGCCGGTGACTGACCCACGTTAATTACATGCACCATACATGGCCGCGAGCTTGCTGTCCTCGTCAGAAGCTGGGGCGATATACGCCAAAAGATATTTTGTTCCGACGTTTTGCTCTATTTAATTCGCTGATTATTAAGTCAAGAGACGGAAGTAATGAAAATACGACAGTAAAATATTTCCTGCTAATTACAATGGTATTTTACTGGTCGCGATTTATACTTTCGCCCAAAATATATAAATAAATAAATAAATATATATATATATATATATACATATATATTCGTATATATTCCTACATGCATATTATAGTTTCTGTATTGTTGGATATGTTTTTACAGACCTGCATGATAATATCGGCATAGAATGCTGGGGATTTCCTAGCGATATCCAGGATACATACTGGCGAGGTATCATCTTCACTAATGCGGTATTCCATGAGTTACTGTACGATGATGACACTTTATTCAGGTAAGAGGAGCAGTCACGAGAGTGCTTGTTAATAATTTTTGATTTTATCCTGATAACAGCTGTTTTACTGTAATTAAGCTAGGTTTAAGCGGTATTGCTAATGTTGTACAATTATTGTTCCTACCTGTTGGGCTAAATCACAGAACTTCCATCTAGCCAATTTCTGTTCTGAAATCGCGTCTAGAGCAGCGTCATATAAAGTAAATGAAGTCAAAAGTCATGCAGTGTTGTAATGTATAAGAGTTTTCAATGCGCGCTAAATACTTTCGAGAGTATGCCAATCTTTTATTTTCACTAAACAGGCATGCCTTATCTCCAAACTATTTCTTTAGAAAGATGGGTTTGTTATTCCGTTGAGCTAGGTTCCAGGCGCATTCCTTTTCACAATGGCAGGATAAGAGATTATGAGACAGATGGCCGAATGTACTTGTACTTGCCCTGTTACACGAATATGTTTTCGCGAATAATGGTTAAACTCAGGCAATAACTATAGCGTTGAGAATGTCACATTGGGTTCCAATTAAATTTGTTCGTGGTTTCATAAAATGTGGAAACAACAAGTACACACACGCACGCTTGCGCAAGGGCAGGCGCACAGGCACTTGAACCGTTTAAGTAAAATATAATGCTAACTAAATACGAAATCTATTTACTACCAAATTCTTAATGTTTCTATACTCTCTTTCACCTATTATTGCCGACAGTTTCCTGTAAATTCCGTCCAAATCCTACGTCCAACCATACGCTGCCGGCGCCATTGCTTTCGCGGCGCGACTGTTGCACTCTTACACTAATATATATAGTTTATTATACTATATATATTAAACTATTAATTATACAATTACACTATATTTATTACACTATATATATTAGTGTAAGCGTGCAACAGTCGCTGTGCACACACGCACGCTTGCGCAAGGGCAGGCGCACGTGCACATAAACACGTGCACTCGCTATACGCACACTCCTGCACACAGCCACGCGCATGCTCGCGAACGCGGGCGCGTGAAGTAGAGTTTTACAGCTGTAATCCGCGATGATCGTCATCATATTCAGCTATAACAAGCTGGATTCGCAATATAGCAAATTAGTTCATGTCGTTTCTCATCGTCCGTTAATCAACTCGCACATGTGTTATATTTACTGTTTAGACGTGTCACCAAGATTATGTTTGTATTTACTAATACCTTAACTACAAGCCAAAACAGTTTCAATGAGCCAGCTAGATCACATGCACTTTCTGTTATGCTACATGCAAACATGTCTATGTTGTTGACAAATTACAGTGATCTTGTGATTCGTTATCTTAAAATTTTATCGCGAAAAGAAATGTATTAGTAGTTAAATCCAAATGTCAATCAATGTTTGCTATTTCCAGGTACAACGAGAGCTTATCGTTGTTGATGTACACTGATATTCTCTATGCTGGAGTTGGTCCCTCGGGTAATGGGACAGCTGCAGTTCAAGTCAGTGGCTACCCACCAATTTTGGAGAATGTGACGGTGCAATATTCTGCATTTAATGGCTTAAACTATAGCCTGGTCGATGGACGCGCTCTTGTGAAAGATTGTCACATATTAAATAACAGAGGTATGATATTTAATCATAATATTTAAAACCGTAAGAATACGCGTTTACGTTTATTGTGCCTTTATTAGGCCATAGACGCAAGTCTATGATTTGACTGAGTTGACTATGATTTTAGGCATGTGAATTTCGTATACGCCTAAAGTACGCTGCATTTTTCGGTTTATACAATTGTATATATTTATTTATATTATGTATATAATACATATAATATATAATAATTGTAATATATAATATATAGAATATTATGTATATATATATATATATGCAATTATTTTATACAATTGTAGGCACAAAATGTTGTGGCGAACTTTTATATCTCCTGTCGTTAATCGTAGCAACACATATGCCAGTCAAAAATTATGATTAAATCTTAAAAACTTTCTACACAACTAACTAAATCTTGCACAGATCGAACTACATAAAGTTACAGTATACATTTGTACAGTATATATGCAGTACACTATACAGCATACAATTACACAGCGATGTGTAAAACGCTATATGAATGTTTACTATTATATTCTGCTACACTATAAGCATGGTAATTTTTTTAAATTCTACATAAATTGTAGATTTATCCTGTGCATGCTCGACTGATTTCCAGCCGGCTGGAATGCAGCAGATCAGAGCAGCGATGCATTACATAAAGGGTCGGTCGTACACGATACGCGCGCGTGTGTAATATCGTGTAAACCCACGAACTATAGTTCTAGGGCTCGGTGAATTAGCTTCATAGAAGATCCACTACGATACGTACAAGTTAACAGCACGCTTGCACTAGGACTGCAAATCTATTGTGTATAGTCCTTCATTAGCAGGAATATATGTGGGAGGACTTGAAGAAGTGAAGGATATAGTTTATTATTTTATGGATCCGCGATATTATATAGAATACTATGCAACACAAGAATTATTCTCGTAAGAGCGTACTCCCTCCGAATTCATCCTTATAATCAGCAGTGAATAAAAACAAATTTGCGTTTATTCACTACCGATATAACCTATATATAGGCCCTGCATATATATACAACGAAAACTTTATATTAAAACTCCAACGCCTAGCTAGCCTCTGGCTAGTCTCATTCAAGTGAAACTACTGAACTCGGGTTTAAGCCTGGCCCACAGTGACATCCGGTGATTATATTCATCAGTTTATCATCATTATACGCACCCGCTCATGGTTGACCAAGCTGATCACGCAACCCAAACGAATGTGCGCGTGCGTACAGGTTGCAGATATATGGTATGAATTCATGCCTCTAATTTTCAGTATTATTTTTCAATTGTATTCCCCTTTACACGAGTCACACATACAGACCTACTCAAATTACTAATATCGTTACGCCTGGAAACCAACGTTTATTCTGTTCGAAAAAAAGAAGAAATATTAACAGTGAAACAAACTGTATTAGTAGTAAAATTAAGTGTAAAGTGTAAGTGTAAAAGTAGAATTATTGGTGTGGTTCAGTACTGATATCGTTGTTGGTGCACTGTGCAGTTAATTCTCTAATTATTATATATGAGGAGTTTATGGGTTAATTACTCATATAAATATCAAAGCTGCCTGGCTTGCCTTAAAGCGCCACAAAGTCGACAAAAATGGTATTTTGGACGTAATATAGTTACCTTGTATGACATTCCGGATTGAAATATGTGTAAAATTGGCTGTTTGTATCACATTGAAAACAGCTAACGCGAGTTCATTCACGTACACGCACGTATACACGCACGTACACGCGGGTACACGCACGTACACGCGGGTACACGCACGTACACGCGGGTACACGCACGTGCACGCATATACACGCGGGTACACGCACGTGCAAGCGGGTACACGCACGTACACGCGGGTACACGCACGTGCACGCGGATACACGCACGTACACGCGGGTACACGCACGTACACGCGGGTGCACGCACGTACACGCGGGTACACGGAGATGCACGCACGTACACGCAGGTACACGCACGTCCACGCGGGTACACGCAGGTACACGCACGTACACGCACGTACACGCACGTGCACGCGGGTACACGCACGTACACGCGGGTACACGCAGGTATACGCACGTACACGCGGACACACGCACGTACACGCACGTACACGCGGGTACACGCACGTGCACGCACGTGCACGCGGGTACACGCACGTACACGCGGGTACACGCACGTACACGCAGATACACGCACGTACACGCAGATACACGCACGTACACTCGGGTACACGCACGTGCACGCGGGTACACGGAGATACAAAGACGTACACGCACGTACACGCGGGAACACGCACGTACACGCAGGTACACGCACGTACACGCAGATACACGCACGTACACTCGGGTACACGCACGTGCACGCGGGTACACGGAGATACAAAGACGTACACGCACGTACACGCGGGCACACGCACGTACACGCAGGTACACGCACGTACACGCAGATACACGCACGTACACTCGGGTACACGCACGTGCACGCGGGTACACGGAGATACCAAGACGTACACGCACGTACACGCGGGAACACGCACGTACACCCGGGTACACGGAGATACACGCACGTACACGCACGTACACGCGGGTACACGCACGTGCACGCACGTGCACGCGGGTACACGCACGTACACGCGGGTACACGCACGTACACGCAGATACACGCACGTACACGCAGATACACGCACGTACAC